TAAAAGAAGTTCATGGAACTAGAGTCCTGGGAAAAGAGGAGCAGGAGGACAAGTAGCTCTAGAAAAGTAAACAGGGGCCATCCCTGCAGAGGCTGTGTCTATCTAGGTCAGGATTCTAGGGCTGATGGAAAGCCATTCCAAGGTTTTATGCAGGAAACTGGCACAATCAGAATTGAACTTTGGAATAAACACTAACTGTAGTGTCAGAAGTATTTAGAAACAATATGAGGGAGTTCAGTTAAGGACAACGGACAGAAGAGATGGTTTGATGGAGGGCAGGGGCATGGAGATACAGAGAAGGGGACAAGAGGTTTCCAAGAGGGGGAGAGTAGGACTTGGTCATCTTCATTTAGTAACAAGAAGGACTGATTGAGGCGTAGGCAGCAAAGTCAAAGAGGGGGTGGGACAGGACTTCCGTGGGTGTGAGTGGCTCTCTTGGAGCCTTCAGTGTGCCACTTCTTAGCTCGATTGTAAAAGCTAGGACAAAGTTGTGGTGATTTTAACCAGTTATATTCTTAACTTCTCCTCAGTGCTACAAACAAGTTAACCATAAATATTTGTCAGAAGTGTTTATGACTCAACAGTAACCAAAATTATATATGACCATGTGTTCGCAAGAACATTTATGTTGTCCTCTGTTTTTAATATTTTCTTATTTTTCTTTTAATTTGCCTGAGGAATTTATGTGCATTCACCATAGAGAGGCACAGAGAGGGGGAAATTGAGAAAGTAGCCCCCCCATGGGGAATGGTCACACTGCAATCCCTTCTCCTCTATTTCTCCCTCCTTTCCAGATTTTGGGCACAAATGCGCACACACCTGGTATATTTCTCAAAATGCCGAGTCCAGGACTCAAACCGCACAGTTGGTCATGTGGGATCCAACCTTCCACCGTGCCACTGGCTAGCCCTAATGTTTTCTTTTTGTGATACCAATAATACAGTTAAGTACTACCAAAGGTGAAAAGACACTTCATATTTACAAACATCCTTGAATCATTTATTATAAGTAACCAACAAGTTCTTCTGAACACCTTCAAGGCATGTTAATGAGATCAAACCAATAAATGGGAACAGTTTTGTTTTGTTTTCTTGTGTTTGTTTAAAGTAACCTTTAAGGAACCAGCAGATGGCATAATGGTTATGTCATTGGACTCCCATGTAGTCAGTGGACTGCATTTCAAGTCCCAGACATGGCAGCTTAAGACTCATGCCAGGAGCACGTGCACATATGTCCAAAATCCCAAGAAGAGAATGGAGGAGAAGAGATTGTGGCGTGGTCATCCTCTCTGGTAAAGAGATATGTATGAGTGACCAGACTGCCACAAGTTGAAAAATGGGGAAGGTTGTCGGGAGTAACTTTGAAACAGTGCTGATGAGACAGCTGTGTACTTGTTTCTTAAATAAACACACCTGATAACTTTACAAACAGTGCAAGAATTTGCATGGATAACCAGTGGTAGCCCCAAAGGGAAGCTTAAAACAAAACTTAAAGTCCCTTATTTGCGGTCTCAAGTGCTAACACCGGTCTTCCTGTAGTCCCTCTCCTCCACTCAAAAGAAAACAAACAAAATAAAGCCAAGCGCCACAAAAGTAAAAGTAGAGTATCTGCAGTGCAAGGCTGTGCAGAAGCAGATTCGGAGGCCATCTGTTACAACGCTTCCACCTTGCTTTTCACCTTCCGACCCCGCTTAGGTAGAAAATCACGCAGTAGCCACTCTACAGCTTTATTAGTTTCTCCAGCCATTCGTGGGCTGTCTTGGTGAACTCACGGGCATGATTCCTTCTGGGCGAGGATACCACCCACCGGGCATGATTTCTGAGTGAATTCCCAGACAGAAGTGGCAGTTCCTGCTTCTCTGAGCTTAGTTCCTGGACGGCCCTGAATTTCCGCCGGCACCGGGTGCATGGCCGGGTGCTGACCACCAGGGGGCATCCTAGGACGCTGGAGCCCGCGGGACAGGGTGACGCGGCAGCCGGGGGTTCTTGGATGCCGCACCCAGTATCCGAGGGAGGGGAGCCCCGTTCCACGGGAGGACCCTCTGCAGTTGATTGCTCGCCGGAATACGACTTACTGGAAACGGGAGTTTGCTCTGTTCACAGTGTGCGATAGCAACTCGCAGGGCTCCTCGCACCCAAGATCCCTCCGGGGGTCTACTGGAAGCTGTTTGGGGGCCCAGACCCGTGCAGGACACCCAGGACACCCCGCGAGCGCGGGGCAACGCACCAGGCAAGCGCCCCGCTAGCCAGCGACACCTCCCCAGGTAGGGCGGGCCGGGAAGAGGCGGGACAGCGGGAGGG